ACTCGGGCCCGTCCAAGCCTCGGCTGACGGACAGCAGCGTCGTCAGGAGTCGGCCTGATGGTACCACAAGACGAGCCCGGTTTCTGCGCTCCTTCTCACTGTCACGCCGGAAGACCGGCCAGGCCAGTGTGTGTGCCCAAGAGACGTCGAGGAATCGGTCTTCAAGCCCTGGACGGCGGGTAGATCCGCGAAAACAGGGTCGGACACTGCCTCCCGGTCACGAGGCGACCGGTGCCAGTGGCGACTCTGAAAAAGGCTGTCTACCCACCAACCGGTCTGAAGCAGGCAGGACCAGTGTTGCGGATCATCAACATCCCCCGAATGGGCAGAATCCTCGGGCTCGGCTGACCACTACGTCTGCCTCCACGATCGGCTGTTCACGCGATCGGATGCCAGCCAATCGTCTGGAGCGACGTAACAAAAGAACGCCAACACCCGTCGCCGTGACGACCAACTTGGTGCCGCCTGTTAAGGCACCGAGTCCGGCCAGCCGAAATCGTCTGTCCGACTTTTTTCTGGCCTGTCGTACAAATTATCGTGACCGGTTTCCCACCAACCGGAGGCAGGCCACTTTGATGGGGACAGTGGTTGTCGATGCTTTGTCGAGAGGTGCAAGTCAATCATGCGAGACTAAAGTCGGATGTCGGTCGCCATTCTCCTCTACATTCTCACCATCGCCGTCCACATCGTCCGCCATCGCGAGGACAGTCTCGAATCTGCTGTCCGACGGTTCGTCTGGCTTCGCTCTTCCGTCGCATTCCGTCCTTCTGTCGACGCCAAGAGACCGATTTTCCACGGCCTTCTTCACCGGTTCCCCTGGCCTCCCGTCGAGATCTTGCCCCACCGACTTTTCAGAGTATATCGGCCATTCTGCCCACCTGGACATGGCGACACTGACTCGGATGCTGTCAGACGTGAGCGGAGAATCTGCCTCCCGTCGGACACTTTCCGTCTGCCAGAAGCCTGCGGCCGAGACGGAGGCTTGTCCCTCCGTCCAGTATGGCACCGTGTTTTATCCACTCACCCCTCCGCAGGTCACGGACCAAACTGGCCCTTGGAAACCGGCCTGGCAACAGGCAGTCACACGCGCCGCCACCGCTGACTCAAGTGTCCTCCTTCCTTCAGGCCACCAGACTGGTCCGGGCCCTCTTGAAATGCACCTGATCCGATCAGGCCAGGATCGGTCGTTTAGACCGGCCAGCTATCGGTCGGAACGCACCACATCTCTCCTGTTTCCGTCCAACTCTGAACGCTTCCACTCCTCGAGCCAGATCAAGGCAGCCATCCCGACTGGACTGGCTCGATTAGAGGTTGCCAGGATGGATCATTCTGCTCAACACCTCGTCAGTCGCCGAATGTCACGACTCGGAAGAGACCAGATCTACTCCAACAAGACGACAGCATGCCAACAACGCCCTCGCTCACGTAAGTCAGCCAGTTGCCCAGTTTAACGGACTTTTATCGCGAAAAGGCACCATTTTGCTCAACGGTAGATATCACTTTTTCATCGAATACGTTGGCCAGTTTAGTCTCATCTCTTCTTCACTTTCAATGTGGGTACATTTTAAAAGCTATTATCAGCTCTTGAATAAGAATTGACGGGCAATGCTAATAGAAGGCTTTTCACAAGGCTGTCCCATCCAGGCTGGAGTGGAATACAGTTTGGACTTTGCCTCCATTGGGATTGGAACTTGGGTTGTGCGCATCATGGCGACACATTTACACTCTTCCTCAAAGTCCTACCAGTCTCGTACATGACTAACATCAAGTCTACGTGCCATTTGCTAATTGTACTAACAAATACAATTTTGCATTCATGTAAAGTAGGCTTCAAAAGTGTCTTTTAGCCTTGGATACGAATTACAGTCAGCCTAGGTTGCATAAAGTGATAAAGAACTAATGGTTCAATTTTCCCACAATGTGATTGGTAGGCCTTCCGTTTCTATTTAAGTTCACATAATCTGGCTTCTACCAAAAGGGACTGCAGTTTCGACCTCTCCCAGGTTTCATTAACACTCACAGCGGGAATCGAATCTGGATAGTACAGCGTATAGCCTCGACACGTCACCACCGCTCCACATTGCCATGAGTACAATGGGGTTATGGAGTACATGTGAATTTTAGGCAAGATCAGGCCTCTCCCAAATCACATCTTTGTAGTGGGACTGTTGTTGAGGCAATCATCTATTTTATACTCCCTTCTCAAGGCTACCAACAGCCCATAAATAAGAGATTGAGGGGATAAAGGACTGGTAGTTGAATTATCCCACAAATGTAGGAGTACACCTTACATTTCCACTGAAGTTCACATAGCTTTGCTTCCCACGAGGTATTTTCATACAGCGTACAATCTCTACACGTTAACCATTACGTCAGATTGCCACAAGTGCCCTCGGGTCAAGGAATGCCAACTATTGTCATATATCACATTCTGTGGTAAAATTGTCGATAAAACAAAGTTGGATTTGCTATAGTAATCGACTAGATCACTTATTTCTAGGATAGGTTTTGGAGAATACCTGTATATCACAAATATAAGATGTGATATGGAAAAATGCATGTCCTTTCTTGAAATTCACATCTGCTTTGTGGCCAAAGGGCACTAATGACAATGTCGAGATTACACGATACACTGGCATGGTTCGAGTCCCGCTGGGGGTGTTGATAAGACCTAGGCGGGGTCGAAGTTGAAGTCCACCCTGGACGAGAATACCTTTTTGGAAAGCAAAGCTATGCAAAATTCAATGGAAATGTTAGGTATACTCACACCATTGTGGGAATAATCAACGACCAGTCCCTTATCGCCTTAACAAAACAGTGTGAATACATCTCAAAAACTTGTATTTTGCTATCACAATCCACCATGTCACTTGCATTCATATAGACTAAGCTTATAGGCTAGAAGTGAATCTCGAAAAACGATTAAAATTTGACTTTTCGGCAATCTCATAATAAATATGAATTTGGATAAGCCAATTTGCTTACATGGCACAGTGGGATTCCAGATCGAGGTAATCTGCTACTCAGATTATAGTTGGCAGACCTACTATTACTGTCTACAACATAAATCCACCACTTATATTCGTTGCCACCTAAAACTATATCAGAATCTGCGTGCGATCGTATTGGGTCTACTGGAAATTCGCTATTTTGCTTTTTTATC